CCCTACTCACCGCCAGCAAACGACTCCCGGTCCCCACCACCGTCCGCATCAGATCCACTGGTGTTCCCAGCACCACTGTCCTCACAACCGCTGTCCCCACTGGTTCCACCACCGCCCCTACTGTCCCCACCAGTGGCCCCACCACTGTCGCACTGTCCCCGCTGTCCCCAGAACTGTTCCCACCACGGTTCCACTCTCCCCACTGTCTCCACGGCCCCAACCACTGCCCGACTATCCCCACTGTCCCCACTGTCCCACTGACTCCTCCGCTGTCCCACTGGACTGTCCCACTGTTCCACCACTGTCCCCACTGTCCCCACCACTGTCCCCACTGTACCTCTGTCCCATTGTCCCACCGCCGTCCTCGCCACCGCCTTCACCACTGTCCCCACCACCATTGTACCCTCCACTGTCCCACTGTTTCCACCTCATTCCCGCTGTCCCCACACCACTGTCCCCACCACCACCGTCCCCACCACTGTCCACTGTCCCCCCTGTTCCCACCATTGTCCCCACCACTGTCCCCACCACTACCGTCTCCACCACTGTCCCACTGTCCCACTGTCCCCACCACTGTCCCGCTATCCCCTCACCACTGTCCCCACCAACACAGTCCCCACCACTGTCCGCACCCCCACTCGGTTTTCGAGGGGGGGGGGGGTTCGAACCGGTAGTGACCCCCCCCGGTTTTCCGGATCCGGAGGGGGGGGGGTGGGGGAGGGGTTCGAACCGGTAGTGACCCCCCCCCTTTTCATGATGAGCAGGGGGGGGGGGGGGGGGGGAGGGAGGAGTTCGAACCGGTAGTGACCCCCCCCGGTTTTCCGTAGGGGGGGGGGGGGGGTGGGGAGGGGTTCAACCGGTAGTGACCCCTCGCCCGTTTTTTTCCCCCCAGCCAGCGGTAGAACACGCTCTTGTCGTATGTGGGTAAAATGATTTATGTATGTATGTTGTGTGTAATGTGATGTATGTATGTATGTATGTATGTATGTATGTATGTATGTATGTAATTATGTATGTTGGTGTGTAAGTATGTATGTAATGTTATGTATGTATGTATGTATGTATGTATGTATGTGTGTATGTATGTTATGTTATGTATGTGTGTGTATGTATTATGTATGTAATTATGTATGTAGGTAATGTATCTATGTATGTATGTATGTATGTATGTATTGTGTTATGTATGTCTGTATTATGTAGTATGTATGTATGTCTGTCTGTATGTTATTTATGTTATGCATGTATGTATGTAGTATGTATGTATGTATGTATGTATGTATGTATGTATGTATGTATGTATGTATGTATGTATGTATGTATGTATGTATGTATGTATGTATGTGTGTATGTGTGTATGTGTGTATGTATGTATGTATGTATACACACAAAAAACGCACACTCGATTACGAAATCCGGAGTCTGTTTCCTGTCTTCGATCCTCATCCTCGCCCTGCTCAGCGGCCCGCTCTCCAGCGCCTCCCTCGTCCAGCGCGGGGTGCGCCGCCTCTCCCTCGTCCTGGGCGAGGTGCGCCGCCTCGGGCTGCTGCGGGCGCGCGGGCGGCGGCTGCGCCTCCGCGTCCCAGGCGCCCCCCCTCCTCGGCAGCGGCTCCCCCGCGCACGCGGCCTGCTCGTCCTTCGGGGGCCCCCAACCTTGGCAGCGCGGTCCTTCGCAGAAGGCGGCGGGGCCCCTCAGAAGCCCTCGCGCCCCCGGGGAAGCCGTCGAATGGAGCTCTCTCCGAAGGCACGGAGAAAACTTCTCGGAAGGCCGGAGGGCCTCCGACCAGCCCCGCAGCCCTCTGAGGAGGCCTGCCCTCCCCACATGGGCGCGCCGCGGACAAGACGGTGCAGTGGCCACACCGCGTGGTGAGCCAGTGGGATTAAGGCTCAGAAGGGCGTTCGGGACATCTTCTGGAGCTGCCAAAACCTTCCGAAAGGAGGAGGAGGAGGAGGAGGAGGAGGAGCGAGGAGGAGGAGGAGGAGGAGGAGGAGGAGGAGGAGGAGGAGGAGCGGTCTCCATCGTCTGCCTCTCGCCGAAGGGCGTCCTTGGGGTGCCATAGATCGTCCCGAACGGCCGCTGGAGAGCCGAGCCATGGCCCGAAGAACCAGACGACGAGGACCACAACGTGCGGTGAGTCATTGAAGGATTCAGAATCACCGCACGGTTTTGGGACCCGGGTCGTTCTACAGTAGGAGCTCGATCACAAGAAACATTCCACGAGAAACCCAACCTTGAGACCCCAGGACGTCCACTGATTTTTGGTGTGGGAGCGTCACGCTTCCCATGGCAAACCCATCGAAACCCAAGAAACCCGGGGGCGCCTCCGAGATCCCAAGACCATGCGGCGACGGCCTCCTGGTGAGGCCTCTGGGGAGGTTTGAGGTTACTGCGCGGGGTCCCTGAATCCTGAGTGCTCACCCTTCTCCCGCGGCGGTTCAGCACCGAGATGTGGTCGAGACTGATGTCAGGAGGAGGGAAAACAGCATAAGCATACACTCTGGGAGTTTCGCGCGGAGTTCTTGGATCGGCGCTGGACCCCCCCCCCTCCCTGGCGCGCGGAGCGCGCCAGGGGCGGCACCGGAGGAGCCAGGGAGGGGTAAAGCCTCAGTCCAAAGAAATCCGCGCGAAACTCCGACAAAATGAGATTCACGCCGTTGTCTCTCCTTCGAGATGTAAGCCGGAGTTGCTTGGATCGCCTCCAGCACGCCCTTCCGCACACGGTCGAAGTCCGCGTTGCTGACGCCGTTGTCATGGTCCCCCTGGTTTCTGAGCTCGCGGACCTTCAGGAGCTGGTCCCGCAACGCCGCCTTTCTTGATGATTAGAAGGTGGGCCCTGGAAACGAATACGAATCGAAGCATTGCCAAAACAGCCAAAACGGAAACGCCAGAATCGCCGAATCGTCACCGAAACGCAGGCAGCGAGACACATTGCGCGCCGCTTGCAAATGGGGCGCGACGAAAAGCAAACGCCCTGTCGCGGCGCGCACCTGTTGGCAATGCGATACGTATGCAAAGCACAGCCGATCAGCCTGCGATCACCACAATAACCTGGGAGAATCGCAGCATGCTTTGAGGACCACAGCGCGCCTGCGGGCACCATAAGATGCCCGCGATCATTAAAAAGCCTTGCGAGAATCAAAAGAAAGCACGTGTGACCATTGGTCACCAATTACCCATCTACCCCAAGCCAGAAATTGATCTTGAAGTATGAACTGGTTTCAAAATTCCAAGGTCTCTGAATCAATGCTGCAAGCACTGGCAATAAGGATGTCCATGAATATGAGGGGCGCGGGTGCAGCCGCAAGCCAGCCCTGGGGATCCAGGGCCCACAAAACATGCCCAAGATGCAAGTGGATACCAGCGTGGACAACAGACAGCAATCACTGAACCCTAGATCTGCACGCTATAGGGTGCACCAGGGCAGAAGGTCATAAAGCGAGGAAGAGCGCAACAACAACGCGCAAACAGAAATCACATGGCGCCTGCCACAGGCAGAGCACTGCACTGCCCACAGGGCACCCAAGGCAGGAACGAGAACCCTCGACGGTCAAGACACCGCAGGGCACCAGCAGCAGAGCTCCGCCCACGGGGTGCCAGGGCGTGGCCGAGGGGCCGCTGGAGCGCGGCCGCGCACCCACGCCTTCCCCACAGGGCCTCCTCGGGTGAGGTCTGGCGCCACCTGCCCCTTCTCATCCTCCTCCATCTCGGCGAACGATGGAGGAGGAGGAGGAGGAGGAGGAGGAGGAGGAGGAGGAGGGAGGACCTCACCAGAGGAGGCCCTGTGGGGCCTCCGTCGGCGAGATCGGGGAGCACGGCATCGCGGTGCCGAAAGTGCAGGGCCACGCCACACGCTCCGCATCAGACGTGGGAATACGAAGGCGGACAGATGCGCGAAGTTCGTCGCGCAGGCCGTCCGCTCGCCTCACAACCTGACGCAAGCGAGGCAGAGAAGGGCGCTCACTCTCGACGGCGTAGTCTTCCAGGTAAGGCATGCTGGTGGAGAAGCTGTCGACCTCAGGGCCGACTTCGACCAGAACTACATGAAACCCACGAAGCACGACCCCACGCAGGCGCTCACAACGCACGAGATGATCAAGGTTCAAAGCGGGATCAGGATTCCAGCGCTTCACTCTGGCTGCACCTACGAGAGCACGAGCAGGCTGTTCGCCAAGAAGTGCCAGGCGAAGGCATTCGCTCCAGGCACCGAGGCAAGCGGAGCAACGAAGCGGTCAACCACCTCTGCGCTCGACTGCAGGTGCTGTGGTGGCGCTGGCAGCTGCGATTGTACATAAGAGGTACGGCGACTGTGACTTATACGAAGAGCCCGAGGGGCCTGAGGCGATGGAGGTCGACGCTGAGCCCTCGGAGCCTGCGGCTACACACATTTCGGATGCGGCTCCGAGAGGGGCCGCCTATTCCAGCACTGCGACGGCAGCGGTACCCAACGGCTCGGGCACGGTGAAGGGCGACGACTTCGGCCACTAGCTGAAGCCGCTCTACGGCCACCGCGTCTGCCTGGAGTGCTGGCTGCACGCGAAGGAGAACAGCAGCCCGCGCCGCGGGCCCGCGGTGAGCGCCAGCCTCCAGGGCACGGCAGCTGCGCAGTCTGAGCGCAAGCGCAAGGCCGACAGGATCATGCGAGGCGTCGGCCCCTTGACGGGGAGGCCGCCCTGGCCGAGCTCCGATGCTCGTGAGCCAAGCATGCCTGCGCCTGCGCGGTGTCGGAGCAGCCTCCCGCGGCGGACCGAGCGCGTGTGCTGAATGCGGCCGAGGCTGTCTGGGTCGGTGCGCGCTGCGCAGTCCGCTGCCCCTGGAGGTGAAAAGCGCAGGAGCTCGCAGCCACTGAGGCGTCACTGGGCACCAGCCAAAGGAAGCACCCGTGTGGCACCAAAGCAGAGCCGAGAACTGGCAGCCCTAAAGCATCACAGGGCACCAGCCGTGAGCACCACCCGTAGAGAACTGGGGCAAGAACGGGAAGTCGCAACACGCAATGCAGCGCAGGGGGCGCCAGCCATAGAGCGCAACCCATCGGGCACCAAACACATAACGAGAAATCGCAATCATTGGAGGACGATAAGGTATCTCCCCTGGGGCACCGCCCATAGAACACCAGGGCAAGAACGCAAAGCCGCAGCCACTCAAACAGCATAGGGCACCCGCCGTAGAACACTATCCCTACGGCATCAAGTCAAGACACCCATAGGGCCCATAGGGAAACCAGAGCAATAACGAGAACACGCAGCCATTGAACCATGGAGCATCGCACATAGGACACTAAGGCAAGAACAAGGCATCGCAACCAAGAAACACCATAGAGCACCAAGTCATAGAGCCCCGCCTGTGGGAAGCCCGGAAAAAAAACGTTACATCGCAACCAGTAGTGCATCATATGGCGCCGGCCATATGGCACCACCCGTAGGGCGCAAGTGCAAACACGAGAACTCAGGACACCAACCATTGAGCACCAAAGCAAACCGGGAACGCGCCACGCTTGAGGCACCACAGTGACCACAATCATAGAGCACCACCCAGGGGGCACCAAGACAAGAGCGAGACCCCGCAGCCATTCAGGAGGAGGAGGAGGAGGAGGAGCAGGAGCAGGAGGAGGAGGAGGAGGAGGAGGAGGAGGAGGAGGAGAGGGAGGAGAGGGAGGAGGAGGAGAGGGTGAGGAGGAGAGGAGGCACCATGGGTTAACACCTATAGAGAGCACCATGGCAGGACCGCGAACTCGCGGCCGCCGCAGCCGAGCGAGAGCTCCCGAGCGCGAGCACTGCACGGGGGAAAGCAGAGTGGGAGGCCCGGAGGGCCGAGCGACACGGAGCACGAAACCCAAGAGGCCTAGAGTGTGTATGCGTGTTCAGTGGTTTTACTGTTTGGGAATGCTCAACCTCTCTGTCTTCAGAGCGTCGCAGACGGCCCAGCATGCCCCCAAGGCCGCCCCAAGACGGGCCAGACGGACCCCAAAAGGGGCATTAGAGAGGCTCGCCACGGCCCAAGGCGCCCCCCCCAACGGCCCAGCTTAGGCCCCAAGACGGCGCCTAGGAGGGCCCAAGACGGGCCCCAGGGGAGCACACGGAGGCCAGCACAACGACTCTGTAGAAGAATCCCGAGAGAGCCCGAAGAGGCCCACGAGGGCGTCGGCCAGAAGGCCCAAGAGCCTAGCAGTTGATTTCAAGAGAGGCCACAGTGACGGCCCCTAAGACGCCCCGAGATGTCCCGCGGAGGACCCTGGAGGCCCTTCATACAGCTTCCAGCTAGCTTGCCCCGCAATCGATAGGGACCCACACGACAGGCACGCACACAATGCAATTCTGAAGGACAGGGTCCCTCACGAGAGGGTCCCGCGTACATGTTGGGACCTATGAATGAGGAATTGCGCATGAGGACCCGCGCGGACGGGTTCCACACGATAGGGTGCCGCAAGATGCGGTTCCGCACAAAACCTTCCCGCGCGACTGGGACTCACACGAAAGGGTCCCGCTCGATACGTAGCGGCACGCGGGAGGATCCTGCACGTTAGGATTCCGCACGGCAGGGGCTTTCAGTCTTGTTCGTTTAAGTTGTTCTTCGCTGCCCTGGCCGTGTTTAGATGTTCTGGGACGTTTCATGATTCGCATGATTGGTGTCTCATTGGCCTTCGAGCACGCGATGCATACCACTAGGGTCTCCCGGCAAAAATCTATATTGGTCGTTCGCGCGATGATCTGTGTCAGTGAACGTCGGGTCCATTGCGGCCGCGTTCCAAGGACACGCTGCGCATACTGGCTTGCTGGGCGGCTCTGACGTTTGGTTACGCTGCACACTCGAAACAACCGACAGGACCGTAACGATTTCGGCGAACATCGCAACGGCCTTGGCATCGTGGCACTCCATGGCAACGTTGTCGTATAGAAACTTGAGCTGTAGCGCCTTCACAACGCTTACTATGACCATGAATATCGCAACAGCTAACGAACCGATATTGAGGTCGGTAGCGCCCACAACGAGCACGTTGAGCACGATGATGATGGTGGAGCAGGCAATCGAGGTGTAGTTCATCACCTTCGCCTTCAACATGCACTCTTCGTAGAGTGTCGAGAGGTAGCTTTCCCATACTCTGGTCTGCACCTCGTTGTGCTTTCGCGATATGGTGTCGCACTTGCGCTCCATGTGTATGGCCCCCGGAGCGCAGACGGGCCCGGAAGAGCTCGCGCAGGCGGGCTCGCGGGGCCGAGCCGGAGCAAGCCTGAGCCAAAGCAGATAGCACGGAGACATCGGCGAGCGCTCTCCGGGCATCGCCAGGGGCTCTCGCGTTCGGCATGCTCGTGGCGGTCCGAAAACAAGCGGCACGACGCAGGCCGAAGAACGCATAGATCGAGGACCGCCTTGCTTGCAGCGACGAAGCAATATGATGTGACTGCACACGTGCCCATGCACGCACGCGTGTGAGCAACGACCCTGGATGGCGAGCAGGAACAAGTCTTGATGGCCGCACACACATCCAACGTGCCACATGCGCTGATCTACCGGAAGAGCAAAAGAACATACGTTACAGCCATGGCACTGCCAGAAGGAACGCTACATGAGAAACGATGCCCCCGTTGTCCAAAGTCACCTCGTCAATGTCTAAGGAACCGCCGATGCCCTATTTCGGGGCGTTCCCTCGTCGTTGCCTCTCGTTATAAAATTGGCCCCTCCCTGCGCCGAAGCCTAAGGAACGGGGGCCCGCGGCTCTAACACAACTGCTTCGACGAAACAAAACCGCATGAGGATCTCTTTAACTTGCCTGAAGATATCCTCTTGACCCTCCTCCTACACCCTCCTGCCTCCTCCTCCTTCTCCTCTTTCCTCATCCAGGCCTGGAACCGCATAGCGTGTGGTCTTGCACCACATAGCGTCGCATGGCGTGGCATGGCGTATCACATAAAGGCTGTTGCATACCATCACATGTCGTTGCAAGCGTAGCACATCATAGCACGCTACACTGCATAACATGAACTATCCGCCATAGTGCCGCGCCGAGTGGAGTGCTGCTGATGCGCTTTCAAAGGGCCCTGGACCCCAGACGCAGGGATCTCCTGGGCGCTCCCCAAGGAAGCTGAAGATGTAGAGGAGGGCGAAAGAAAGGGCGAGGAGGTGGAGTTGAAGGGAGGTTGCGGCCCCAGATGGCGCGGTCTCCTCAGAAGACTGTCGAATTTGCTACGTCGTGTGCTCCTTCAACAAGGGCCTCGGCAACTTACATTTGTTTTCTGTGAGAGAGCTGACGGCAATGGCGGTGAAGGCACGGGCTCCGATTCCCAATTCCACCACGCAGACACCCCCAACTGTCATTTGAGTAGAGGACCCGCGAGCCTCTGGAGGAGATCACGGGAGATGCGCAGGAGGAGGGGGAGGAGGAGGCGATATACCGTGCCTGCCCTGCCGAGGGCACGAGTGCGCAGCTGCAGATCCGAGGAGCAGCCTTCCTTCGCTCCAGCCGTGGGCCGGCCCACGCGCAGGGTGGCGGCTCAGCCCGTCCGCTCAGGCCCGAAGACGCCGACTACTCTGTCCCCGGGCGAGGCTCCGCTGAGCAGCCGGCCCCGCCGGCAGGGCCGCGTCGACTCGCCAGGCTCCAGGCCCCAGCCTGCCCGCGCGGCTGTCGGCGCTCGGCTGGTCGTGGATGTCCACCAGGCGAGGAGGTGAGCCACGATCCCCGGCGCCGTGGCGCTCCGCCCCGCCGAGCGTGGCGAAGCGCACGGGGTCGCCGGCGCGCGACGCCTGCAGGAGCAAGGCCGGAAGCAGGTGAGCGGTGTAGGAGAGGTCTGCGGCGAGCGATGGGAGCTCGCACTGACCGTGGCTGTCGCCACCACGTGCCGCGGCCGCGCCGCCGTTCCCCAGCAGTATCGTGTGGCTCACTCCAGCGGCCACCTGCGTGTAGACCAGGTTCACGACCAGCGCAGGGAGGTTGCACTGGCCAAGACCAGCGTCGCCGCAGGCCACAGCGGTGCCATCGCTTCTGAGTAGCACTGTATGGCATCCTCCAGCGGCCACTTGCGTGTACGTCAGGCCCGCTACAAGCGCCGGGAGGCAACATTGACCATAAAGATTCCTTCCGCAAGCCACAGCGGTTCCATCGCTCCTGAGAAGCACTGTATGGTGCCCTCCAGCGGCAACTTGCGTGTAAGTTACACCTGCTGCCAGCGCCGGGATTTCGCACTCACCAGTATCATCGTAGCCGCAGGCTACGCTACGGCCGTGCCGTCGCTCCTGAGCAAGACTGTATGGCACTCACCAGCGGCCACTTGGGTGTAGGTCATGCCCGCGACCAGCGCCCGAAGATCGCACTGACCAAAACCCTTGTCCTCACATGCCACGGCGATGCCGTCGCTTCTGAGCAGGACGGTATGACGCCCTCCAGCGGCAACTTGCGTGTAAGTGGTGTTGACGAGCTGTGATGGGAGGTCACATATCCGCTAGAACGCTTGCAGCAGTAAGCGTGTTTCAAGTCACTCTTCTTTGCTGCACGACTGCTACCGAGGAGCAGCACCTGCATAAGGCCTCCACACACACACACACACACACACACACACACACACACACACGCACGCACGCACGCACGCACACACACACACACACACACACCCGCGCGCGCAACACACGCAGCCGATGCCAAGAGACAATCAGCGTCTAGCGCCCAAGTCTACAAATCGAGAAAGTCGCTGAAAGGAACACATTGCGCGCGGGAAGCACTGTTCGACGTCGGCGGCGTCCGAAGAGGCGGAATCGGCGGACGTTTCGACTAGCGCTCATAGTACTTTACACCACTCGAGTGAAACTAATAACCTCAGAATTGGCCCGCCATCGCCCAAACCCCAAGACGACGTCAAGACCTCCTCCACCTCTTCCTCCCACTCCTCCTCCTCATTATCACCATCATCATCAGCATCATCAGCATCAGCATCAGCATCATCAGCATCAGCATCAGCATCAGCATCAGCATCAGCATCAGCATCATCATCATCAGCATCAGCATCAGCATCAGCATCAGCATCAGCATCAGCATCATCATCATCATCATCATCATCATCATCATCATCATCATCATCATCAGAATCATCACCATCCTCATCCTCATCCTCATCCTCATCCTCATCCTCATCCTCATCCTGCTCCTCATCCCTTCCTGCTCCTCCTCTTCCTTCTCCGCATCCTCCACTTCCTCCTCCTCCTCCTCCTCCAACTTCTCCTCCTCCGACTCCTCCTCCTTCAACTCCTCCTCCTCCTCCTCCTCCTCCTCCTCCTCCTCCTCCTCCTCTCCTCCTCCTCCTCCTCCTCCTGCTCCTCTCTCCACCTCCTCCTCCTCCTCCTCCTGCTCCTCCTCCTCCTCCACCTCCTCCTCCTCGTCCTTCTCCTCCTCCTCCTTCCCCTCCTCCTCCCCGGAAAACTCCCCAGAGGACCCCAAGGGGCCCAAAAGAAGACCCCAAGAGGCGTCCCAAGGGTCCCTAGGGAGCCTCACAAGGGCCCCGATGACGCATAGCAGCGACCATGGAACGCCATTGCCATGCCACGCAGGAGCGTGACCACAAAGCATTCAGTGGCGCACTGGTCAGGAACGATCCCCATCATCCCCAACACCCGCCCTCCATTTTGAGCAACACCCTCACCTTCGCGAACCAGGCGTCGGCGGGGCGGCTCGACCAGTTCGCCTGAGACCTCACCATGGGCCCCGACCCTGAATCTGGACATCCTCGACCACCCACTGCAGGGCTGGAGGTCCGGCGGCTTCCAAAATGCGGCTCTCTCGTGCAAGCGCCTCGTGCACTCAAAGCCTCCGAACACACCGCGCGGAGGAAGGGCGACCCGGTCTGAGAATGCGACCCTCTCGCTTTTTCGGCGCTGCGCACGTGCGTGCTGAAGGCTCCCGGCAGAAACACAGGTGGCAAGCGGTGCTTGTTCAAAGTGCGAGTTTCGCTCAGATCTGATACGAAGGGGCCCCAGGACACGCAAATACATACACACAGATCAAAAGATTCCCCATAGGTTCCCATATTTTCTGGGTTTTTGTCTTCCCCCCCACCTCCCATATTTTCCCATATTTTCTGGGGAATCGACGACAAATTGTGTGTCTGTGTGCTTTTCCCATCCTGATGATGGGGAGCCACGCAGCCTGGGCATGCCGACGGCTCCACGGACAAAGGGCGGCACCTGCTTGCAAGGTCTCCTCTTCGCCGCGGACACTACACGGAGCGTGCTCGAGTCTTCAACGATCCTCGATGCTGCACGGACTAAAGGACCGAACGAGCGAACCACCTTGGCGGCGTGCACAAGGGTGTGGGGGGAAGGGGGGGGGGTTCTTAGAAGCAGGGGTGCTTCTAAGAAGCCCTCCCCCCTCCCCCCACCCCCCTCTGCGCGTGGCTGAACCACTGCGGACAGCTGTCCGGGCCTGCTCGAGACCTGGTGGAGGAGGCCGCAGCCTCTTCGAACCTGCACGCATGGACCACACGCGATCATGCACATGGACAGCGACACAACAAGAAAATGCACGGTTCTGGGCACGGGGCACTGTGATGCCCGCCATCCCAGGGACTCCCAGGCGCCACTGCTGGGCCTGGGACAGAAGAGCATCCTTCGAGACCATCCGCCGGCCAAAAAACACAGAACATCCAAAGGTACCCTCCCCAAGATGCGCACGAACATCCAACCAGCACGAAGAACAGGAGGGCAACCTCCCCGAGCCGACCTCGATCTGAGATACCCCGGTCCGACCGTCACGCCCGCCAGCCGCGGGATTCCCAGGCCGTACTACAAACTCTTGAGGTTGTCGGGCTCTCTCCCCCGAGGCCCCGGAAGCGCCCCTGGGAGCCCAATCTTGAAACTTGCCCTGAGATGGTCCGCCGGCCCAGGGTGGTCTTGGGAGTCTGCCGGGCCACCTTGGGGGCCATCTGTGCTGGCCCCGAAACGCTGAAAAAATTGCAGGACTGCCCTTTGTGGGCCCCGGAAACGGCAGGGCCGTTTTTTTCACCGTTTCCAGAAAAATGTCGACAAGCCCCCCCTTGGGCGCGAATTAGTGGGAGGCAATACAGGGGGGGGGGAGGGGGGGGGCGAAGGGAGGGGGAGGGGGGAGGGGAGAAATGTGCTCTTCTCGGGCCCTATAGGCCCTCTTTCTGGACCCGAAAGGACCCCTTTGGAGGCCCCTTTTAGGACCCTCTTCGGCAGCCCACGCTGCCCCCTGGATCTATCGCCCCCACAAGTAGAGGCCTCCATGGAGGAGCAAAACACGGCATAAACATAAACTGTGGAGGTCCGCGCGGGTTTCTTGGGTCCGAAACAGAACCCCCCCCCCCCGCGCGCGAAGCACGCCATGAGCGGCGCCAGAGGCGCCTCCAGGGGGGCCCCGCGCGGATCCAAGAAAACCGCGCGGAGCGCACAAAGTTTATGTTCATGCCGTTTTCTCTTCATCGCCTCCAATATGATATCCCACTTCGCTCGGGAGGAGAAGGAGGAGGAGGAGCATGGGTACCCTGAGAGAGAACGAGAAGAGGGCAACCGGACACTGCGCGAGAAGAGGGCAAGATGATGTTTTTCCCGCGCCACCGCCGCCCAAAAACTAGTTCTCAGAAGTCGTAATCGTTGATGATGGCTGGAGCATCGCGGAGAGTTGTGCGTTGAAAGACTGGCGCTCGACCCACACCAGCTGCTCCGCGATCGTGGTAAAGGTCAGCTGCTCGGTCGATGCAGACGCCGCAGCAGGCGGCGAAAAAGAGCTCCAGGTAGCAGAACTCGTTGATGGCGTAACGGCGGGCGTCTTCTCGTCGGGCTCGGGAGGCAGCACCATCTCGACGGTCTCTCTCGGCACTAGCAGGTCGGCAGTCTCGCTCGGCGTGAGCTCGGTGTCGGAGTCCACGGGCTCGTTCGTGATCAGCGGGGTGGAGAGGCCCATGGCCTTCAGAACCCCCTTGAAGCCGTTGCTGCACGCAGGGCTCCGAACGTGATCGCAGAGGTCATTGAAATAGCTCTCGAAATGGTGCGAGCCGCCCCGAAGGTCAGGAAACACCTCGTGGCCTTGAAACCGCCGCATGTGTTGCTCAAGGGAGCCGATCTGCTGCTGAATCTCCAGCGCGTCGCTCTCGATGGTTTGGCAACGCTCCTCGAACTTGTCGACGATCTCGCCCCGCATGTTCTTAACATTGAGCGCCAGCGCAGAGAACTGCATCTTCAGCTCCTCGGCGGTGGTCTGGGGCCGCTGCATCTCTACGAATTTCCGGCGTGGATCTGCAGGAGCGGGAGGCGGTGCAGACGTCACGCGGGCCTTCATCAAGGCGGCAAGCTCGAAGCGCGTGTCGACGACCTGCTGCTGGACCTCGCTGATCTTCGCCATCAGCTCCGTGATAACCTGCTCTTGGAGGGAGGCGATGGCGGGCTGCATGACTTTGGAGAGCACCGCGGATTGCTGTGTGTTGAAGGCCTCGGACCAAGGCGTGAAGCACGCCTGCAGCCTGGAGTCGAGCTTCTGATCGACCATGGAGAGGAGCGAGCTCTTGAGCGTGAGGATACTCTCGTCCATCGTGGCGTGCAGGGTGTCGCTGCGCTGCGTCGGAGCGCGGGCTCCACGGGCCACACGGTGCACTCCGTCTCGGGCGGGGAGGACGCGGCCAGCGGGTTCAGCTCGGGGAAGGCGGCGTCGCAGGCGTCCGCCCAGGAGACGCGCGTGTCAGCAGAGTGCAGAGCAGACATAGTGGGGGGTGTAGTAATGCTCGCAGGTGAGGTGCGAGGTGCAGCAGTCCAGCATTTGTGGCGAGCGATGTTGCCAGCCGTGTTCCAGCGTTTGAACACCTGCTCCTCCTGCGGGGTGAAGTGGCCCTGTGCAGCCGCCGCAACGCAGAGCTCGGAGCCGTTCCGCCTGTGGATGCCCGTCTTCGTCTCAAAAATGCGCACGTTGCCTGTCGCCTTGGCTAGGATCTTCGCCTCGCGGGATACGGCTGCTGGGACCGTGATGCGAGCCAATGCGGGGCCAGCACGAGGGTGTAGGAAGCCTTTGTACACCGCACGTTGGCGGCGAGCGTCCATGGCGGCGAGTGAACGGCGACCGCGAGGACGTAGTGGGTTGTTGAACATCACCGCGAGTGCAGCGTAGATGAACGTGATCGAGAAGAGGAATCCGAGAGGAGGAGGAGGAGGAGGAGGAGGAGGAGGAGGAGGAGGAGGAGGTGGAGCTGGGAGGAGGAAGGACACACGTTGAAAATGGCGGACGAGGAGGAATGGTGATGATGACGATGAGGAGGAGGACGAGGAGGAACAGGAGGAGGCGGCGGACGCGGACGGAATATGAGGATAAGCAGGACTGGCCAAGTAGACGAGAACAAGAGAAACACGGGGACACGAAACCGTTCATCTGCGCTTTCGTCCCGCCCGACCACCCCGCCCCAGGTCTGGAGTCCTCCTGACAAGGATCGTCGACGTCGTCCTCGCCCTCGCCCTCGTCGTCGCCGTCGTCGTCCTCGTCGTCGTCGTTGTCGTCCGCGTCGTCGTCCTCGTCGTCGTCCTCGTCGTCGTCCTCGTCGTCGTCGTCGTCCTCGTCGTCGTCCTCGTCCTCGTCGTCGTCCTCGTCCTCGTCGTCCTCGTCGTCGTCGCCCTCGTCGTCGTCCTCGTCGTCGCCGCCCCGCCTCGGCATGGCTCCGGCTGCCCCGCCGGGGCGCCGGCGGGCGGGCCCTGCCAGCCGAGGGCGGCGGCCTCGGCCAGCGCGCGGCCCGGAGGCTCGGGCTCGCGCCGCCTGGCGGCGCCCGCCTCCTCGGGCGGGGGAGCCCCCCCCCCCTGGGCTGAGGTCGGGCCTGTGCCTCGACGGGGGGGAGATCCCAAAGCAGTTGGGTCGAGACTTCGGGGGGGACCCCGTATGCGACGGCGAGGAGCGGGTCTTGCGCGAGTGCGTGGGCTGCTTCTGAAGAGAATCCTGGAGGCCTCGCGCGGCGACTTGAGACCCGATGTACGTCGGATCCACGTCGGATGTGTGTCGGGTTAACGTCGGACTACGTCGGAATTACGTCGGATTTGCGTCGGATTTGCGTCGGACTGACGCCGGAGCATCGCCGCGCGAACGTCGACGCATAGCTCACGGAGCTGACGTGTGGACTAGAGGACACAGCTATTGCGCGCCGCACGAGGCCTCCAGGATTTCTCCTCATCATGTAAGGGATCGACAGCAGAATTAGTTGACCCCAGAGCCCCGGAAGTCTCGACCCTTTCCCCAGGGCCGACTTCTCATTCCGAGTCGTTCTCTTGCGGACCTGGTGCCCGGCGCGAAGGCCGAAGGCCCCTGGAGCTCGAGAGAATCGCAAAAAAACGTCCGCCCCGATGGCTTCACGACGCAGGGGGGGCCTGGGAGAGATCGAGTAGAGGATCGACTATAGAATTGATTTACTCCAAACTTGATTCCCGCACCGAATCTACGAACAAGCACAGGACCATGTTACGCCGTTGTTCGTTCGTAGATTCGCCGCAGACATCGACTTGGTGGTAAATCAAGTATGTAGCCGATCCCATACTCGACTTACGCGAGATGGCATAGCGACCTTACGCCGCGGCTTACGCGGGCGGCCCGCGCGGCACGCTGCACTGGAAGACCAGAGCACTCACGCGAGACCTTGCGCGGGCAGCTTGCGCGCGAAGGTCGGCACAGTCGAACCCGTTCCTGTTTCGTCGACCACGCGGCTTTGGGAGGCAACTCGCACAAGACGAAGCCAGGACGAGGATAGATTTTGGCCGGGCATGTCCCCCTACAGGCGGATTTTGGACGAAAAAAACTGTCCAACAAGAATCAAAAATGGTCAAAATTATTGGACAATTCGTCCCCAGACTGTTTTGGGACCAGTTTTGAGCATCCCCCCTGTAGGGGGACAGGCCCGCCTGAAGGATAGATTCGGGTGGGGCCCCCATGTTGGGAGTCCCGAAACGGTGCGGTGACGGACCGTGCGGTGACCTCGAAACCCCCCAAGACCTCACCGCACGGTCCGTCACCGCACGGTCTCGGGACCCTGGAGGCCCCCGTCGCCCGAGACGTCCTCGGAGAAGGCCTCGAGCCCCAAAACCGTGCGGCGACCCCGAATCCCCACCAGAGGAGGAGGAGGAGGAGGAGGAGGAGGAGGAGGAGGAGGAGGATCGGGGAGACGTAAGACCCGGGTACGGGGGACTCGGAAATCCCCGACGAGGTCGTCAAAAAAATGACGAGGCCGAGCCTGCATTTTGAAAGGGGCCTCCCGCTACAGACATCCCACGAAACTCCTCCTCGTCAAAATCCGAGGCGCGGTCGTCAAAAAACGGTGGCGAACCCGAGTCCCGGCAAACCCGGGTCTTGCGCTCCCCCGAGAGGAGGAGGAGGAGGAGGAGGAGGAGGAGGAGGAGGAGGAGGAGGACTCACCGTACGGTGTGGTCACCGCACCGTCTGGGGGCCTCCGACCATCATGGGAGGCCCCAAAAGAGGCTCCCATATGAGAGGCCCGGAAGAGGCCCTGGGGCGGCCGCCCGCACGCTTCAGGACTGCCCCCCGGAGGCTCCGCCTCCTCCTCCCTCCTCCTCCACCTCCTCTTCCTCTTCCTCCTACTCCTCCACCTCCTCCTCCTCCTCCTTCCTCTTCCTCCTCCTCCTCCTCCTCCTCCTCCTCCTCCTCCTCCTCGTCTCCTCCTCCTCCTCCTCCTCCTCCTCCTCCTCCTCCTCCTCCTCCTCCTCCTCCTCCTCCTCCTCCTCCCCAAGGCAGCTCCCCAGACGCCCACGAGTCGAGCATCCCCCCACAGTGGGCCCCCGAAGCTTCGGTCGGGCATGTCCTCCTGCGGGCGGATCTTGGACGAAGAACAGCTACAGTCAAAAGATACACCAGAATGCTCAGAACGAGTCGAGAAATCGTCCCAGGACTATGTTTTAACTATCTTTGAACATTCCGCCTGTAGAGGGATGTGCCCGCCTTGGCACAAAGCCCACGACATCGAGAATCTCTGAGTTCCGGCAGTTCTGGAGGATGTATCGGGCGCCGCGGCCTTCTCGGAGCGTTCTGGAACGCTCTGAGAGCGTTCCGGAACGCTCTGGAGCGGAGTTATCCTCGTCCTGGTCCCGTCCGATCCTGTGAGATAGTCTAAAGGTGAGCTCAATTCGAGGCCCACTGAGCTGGATGAGGCCGGATTAAGCACGGGATTGCGCTGGACTGAGCGGGATTGATTCGGACTGAGCGGGATTAAACTGGATTAGGCCAGTTTTCGACCCGGGATAGACCAGCGCCGACTCAGAATGTCACCTCCCAGGAGTTGCATCTTAGGTGGCTGGCCCGCAGAAGGGGCCGACCTTCTCAGAAGGCTCGGAAGGCCTCTGGCCCTCTCAGACGTGTTCTGAGCCTTCTCCGAGGACAGAGAAGGCTGCTCAGATGGCCGGGGGGCTTCTGAGAAGCCCCGCCGCCGTCTGAGAAGGCCTGCCCCCTCTCACTTCTCCCCCGAGCTCGCCGCCGAAGGTTCAAGGTTTTCGAGCGCTGTCGTCGATTCTCGGCGGCTTTCTAGCCTCGGGATGCTCTTCAGCGCTGCGCCTCGTCCAGAACGTCCTGGGGGTGCCCCGATCGTCACAAACGGTCGCCGGGGAGCCAGGCACCCTCGCGTTGTGAGGAAATCGCCAAGGGAGGATTTGGGTAATTTCCGGCCTCTGAGAACCCTCACCTGGCCCTGGGACCGTCGGAAAGCCCGTCCCAAGGAAAAGGTCGAGACCAACACACTGCGAAACATCAAACACGACGTCGTGGGTCTGGATGACAGACCGCGCGGTAATCTCGAAATCTCCGAAGACCACACCGCACGGCCCACGTCGTCAGGGACATCCCTCTGATCCGACGTTGCGGAAAAATGCAGCATGCCGGATCGACGCGTGCTGGCCCCAGGGCCCGACACTGAGCGACGACGCCGGCGGGAGGAAGCTCGACGCCCGGCTCTGAAGGCAGTCGCCCGAGACAGCCTCGGAGAACGACCCGAAGCCCGGGGCCGCGAGGCCGCCCCAAGCCTCCACGTGGCGCACCAAACGGCGTGGTCGCCCCCCCGCTCGGGAGCTGCCCGGCTCCTCGGGTCGGCAGGCGCCGCCGCCGGGGCGCGCGGCGCGGAGGAGCCTCGGGAGCACGGCGGAGGAGGACCCCGCAGATCCGACGCTGCGAAAAAAAATCCGGATCGCTCGTTCTCCCCCCCCCCCCCCCGTTTAGTTGGCTCTTCCGCCAGCGCAGTTGCCCTGCCTAGCCGCCGACGCAACCAAAAAAAGCTCTGAACCCCACCCCTGCCGTCCGGGGGAAGGAGGAGGGGGCTCCGGCCTGCGAGCGCCACACCGTGGAGGAGGAGGAGGAGGAGGAGGAGGAGGAGGAGGAGGAGGAGGAGCCTCCCCCCCTCCACCCTCCCGTCCGGGGACGGAGGAGGGCCCGCGAGCGCCGCACCGTGCCTCCCCCCCCGGCCTTCCGTCCGGGGGAGGGGGGTAGGGCTCGAGCCTGCGAGCGCCGCGCCATGCCTGTGGAGGGGGCCCTCCCCCCTCCCCTCCTCCGTGCGGTTCGGTGCCATTGCTAGACGGGCGCGCTCCACTACTCGCGCAAGAAATGCTCGCAACTGGCCTGGATCCGCCGCGGGGGATCTGCGGCAAATCACATCGAGGCGTACACGTGCTTTTCGGACGTTTGCGAGAAGGCACTCTGCGAGTAGTGGAACGCGCTCGGCGAATTACGGGGAGGGGGTGGAAGCGGGGGGGGAGGGGGGGGGGACGGGCGATCTCCCGCAGTGGACGTTGCGGGCTCAAAGGGTGGAAGACTGGAGCCCCAGGCTGGAGCCCTGGGCCCCAAGCATCAGGAACAGGCGCTCACAGGCTCCATCATCACGACTGGACTGGAGCCCTAGATTTGGGTCGGGCATGTACCCCCTGCCGGCTGGAGCCTGGACGACAAACGAGACACATCAAAAACAAATGCTCACAACAAATCATGCAGATCGCAGAAAAATCGTCCCCAGACTCTATTTTTGCACTCTTTGGGGGTACTCCTCCCGTAGAGGGACAGGCCCGCCTTGACCCTA